AAGAGATGTGTTCTTCAACCTCCTGACAGACTTACACTTTCTTGAAGAGACTACCAAGCCATACGAGGATGTACGAATGCTACTACCTTCGTTCTTTGATAGTTGTTTAAAAGAATCTCTTTTACTCCCGTTCACTGGCATGGCCTGCGGTCCATGCAAGTAGCTCCCAGCTCTTCCCTACATCGACAATGCACATTTTACTCGAGTATTATGTCTGCCTTCGTCTCCAGAAATGACTCGGTGCACTACACAGCTTCATGCTCAACATTTTCGCCACCAAGGTCAGTCTCAAAGGTAAACTCTCCGCCACAGTCCACATCTGTTATTCAGTGTGACACCCATTGTCGCCAAGTTTGCTCACTGGCTCAACCGCTACTTGACAGCTGGCAAATGCAATCATTCCCATTTCACGAACACTTTCTCCTCACTTTTTTGTTTTCATTCCAACCGCTCTGTTTACGACACGAGTTGGAGCAGCCAATCGCCACAACCTGATACAAGGAACGTCACCTGCTCTGGCAGCAATGTGAATTCAAGCAGACAGACCAGGGTGTCAAATATGTGTGCTACTACCAGGGAACATGAATTTGCCTAACTGTCACATTTACATTTGCCAAGGTGACAACCTCTGCCAACTTTATTTCTTGTCAAATGCAAAGGAGAATTGTGATTGCTTTGCACCTTTAATTGCATTTGCTCTGGCCACTACCCTTTCTGGTGCGATCGGTTCACAATCTTAAGCTCGAAGGTGCGTTTCGACACAAGTGGTAAGAAGCGACACTGGGCACGTCATGAATCGTGTTTGTGACATTTGTGACACAGCCAGGTTGGCAGTGATCGAAAGTCAAAATGAGAAGTGTACAAGGAAATAAGGCTGTCCTACCAAAGCAAGCAATGACCTGTATTGTAACCACTGCAGCGAATACGGCCTGAAGTGCGCTGAATTCAGTGCATTTCCTTGCCTGGGCCTTGATATACAAAAAAAACGTGCTTGAGATCCTACGCAATTACCTGTCACTCATCAAAACTACGTGCCTTGTT